TTTATTTAATTTTATTTTCTTTCTCTATCAATTTTAATTGAAACTTACTTAATTTCTTAAATTTCTTATAACAATTTTTAAAGAGCTCATCATCACTCATATGACTATTTTTCTCAACAAAATCTTCTACAAAGTAGTAAAAAGAAGAACGCGGAACAAAAAAATCCTCTTTTTTTACAAAATTTTTCGTGAGATTGTAAATATCTTTTACTCTCGCTGTAAGTTTACTTGAAGGCAGCTTCTTTTTAGAAATATTGTTAAATGACTTTGCCATTAAGTTTAAAATTTTAGTGATATGCTTACCAGATGCGGATATTCTTTGGTAAATAATTTTTTTCCTATGCAACTTTTCATGCTTCTTTGTTTTACTCATAATAATTTATTTTAGTTACTTAAAAATGACCGAAGCAGGGATTGAACCTGCAACCTTGAGATCTGGAATCACACGCGCTACCATTGCGCCATCCGGTCTTTAAATAAAGACATAAATATTAATTAGTTTTACAAAAGAATTTTGTATATTTCTAAATTTTTTATAAATTCATATAATTAAAAAAATAATTAGAAGTATTCAATGATGACTTAAACCTATTTTGATATATTAGAATTAAAAATTTAATAATGTTTTAAATAAAATATTGAATTAAATAATAATTAAATTATTTTATGACTTAATAATTTTTTTAATTTTATATCTCCAATGTTATGGTTAGAAAAATATAGACCTAAATCATTTGCAGAAATAACATCCCATAAATATTTAGTATCATTACTCCAGAACTACGATATAGAGAATATACCCCATTTAATACTCTATGGCAAGAATGGTTCAGGTAAAAGAACATTGCTTTATTCGTTGATAAAGCATTTGTATGATGATTTTCCTGAAGTAAAATTAAAGAAATCAGAGGTGGAGATCTCTTCAGATCAGAAGATAGAAATTGAATACTTTGAATCAGAGGAATACATTGAAATAAATTTATCTCACTATGGTTACAAAGATAAAACAATTGTACAAACTTTTATTAAGCAGATGGCACAAACAAAGCCAATATTAGAATTCTTAAGACCAAATAAGAAATCGAATGCAAGGATTTTAGTGATTATGAATGCTGAAAAATTAAGTAAAGATGCCCAGGCTGGATTAAGAAGAACCGTTGAGCAATATTCCTCATCCTTTAGGATTATTTTGGTATGTGAACAGCTTTCTACAATTATTGATCCAATCAAAAGTAGATTCCTTTCATTAAGAGTGAATACCTTTACTTATGAAGAAGGTTTGACAATTGTTAAAAGGATTTTTAATGAAGAGAATATTTCCTTTGATGAAAAGCTTTTTAAAACTATTTATGAAGAATCTAATGGAAATTTAAAGAGAATTTTAAGTCTTTTAGAAACTAATCACATTTTATTAAAGGATACAAAAAGAAAGAAGCTTGAAATTATTAAGAATGAATGGGAACAGAAGATAGAAAATACTATAAATTTATTAATAAGAGATCAAAATACACAGAGCATTAAAAATGCTAGGGAGGATTTTTATAATCTAATTAGTTCATGCATACCAGCCTCTGTTATTCTTCAGGAAATGTTGAGAATTTTATCTAAAAAGGTTTCTTTTTACATTTATAAATCTCTCATTGCTAAAGCTGCTGAGTGTGAAGAAAGAATAAGAATTGGATCAAAAGGTATTTTACATTTGGAATGCTTTGTTGCTTATTTAGTTTGTTTGTTAACTAAAAAAGAAGCTTAGAAAACTAAATTCATTTTTTATTAAAATGCTAATATTTTTATTGATTTATTAACTTATTAATTCTTTAATAAAATATCAAAAAATAAATATATTTTTAAATAAATCAATGTAAAATAATCATTGATTTATTAATTCTTAATTTCTATTTAAACGTTTTTTAATTAATATTTTTAAAAAATGCATTAAAAATTACATATAGGAATTAAATTTATTTGTAAATAAATTTTATAATTTTACTTTAACTATATTTAACTAATTTTCTAATATTCATTTTATATTAGCAAATTTATAAAATATCTTTAAAATAAAACCCCAATTTCATGAATATTTTAAATATAGAATGTATAATTTTATAAGTGTAACGCATATTCTTTTAATTATTTGTTTTTTGAATTACTTTATTCATATGAGGTTGTTCATATTCAAAATATAATTATTTTTAAATTATTTATAAAATTATAGTAGGAAAACATAAAATCATTGCTACATAATTAGCAGAATATATTTTATTGTATCTCAAGCCAATATAACTTTAAAAAATTATGATGTTTAATATTTGTTTCCAGATATTTAAATGAAAAAAAAATCAAAAAATAGAAAACTTTTATATCAATATTTTGGAAAGATTATATACTTCGTAATGCTTAAGCAATATCAATATGCATTAAGCAACTAACAACATAATCAATTAATAATTCAGTCACATAGAATAAATGTCCTTAGAATTGAATTCGAATGGCGTAATATTGAACCCAAAAGGGTTTATGAAGGAGGTTAAAGCTCAAAGGAAAATTTATATTGATTGTCTTATATATTTGACATGGAAATATGTAAGAAAGTTTTTTAAATAAATTATGGTAGATTACAATGATTTCATTTCTTTAAACTATGTAACGTGAGGAAACTCATAAAAATCTAACCCTTTGAGTAATAATAGAAACAGAGCAAATCGATTTTCGCATCCAAAGATCTGATGAAATCAGAAAAGATTTGGATTTATAGAAAAAATATACAATAAAGTATCTAAAGAAATTGATGCATAGAAATTATACGTCAAGGAAATATAATGAATTTAATTATAAAAATTTGATATAAATATATATCTAGTATAGCGTTAACTTCAATGAACATACTAGAGACTTCTAAGGTAAAGGTTAATCAAAAAGAAGGCAACACAATATTTCAATAAAATGAAGAACACACTCGTGCAACTTGTAAGGACTATGCAAAAATGATTTGTTTGAATATAAATTGTAGGCATAAGATAGTAAATATCTTGATTCATTTGAAACTGGGTTATATCTCTTATCAAAAAATCTCACCAACTTTGGTAATTACGCATAGGATGCAACTTGCTTTAGAATTGTTCAGGCATCAAATACTTTCTAGTCATTTAAATTAATTTGATCATTGATTTGTTACCAATGTTAAGATCAAAATTTTGTAATGTAATACAGGACTATATAGCAAATAATATTCGATAATATAAGATACAAATCTTTGAGGGGTAGAAATATTTTATAAAATGCAGCAGATTTAACAAGAATATGCGTGAATTGACTAAGATGACTAAACAAAAGGGATGTAATTTATTGAATTTTTATGTTACTGTTATTCTTTATAGATACTTTATTTCTTAGTAAGTAGAAATGTCAAGCATTATGAAGTTTAGACCTAATTAAATGCATATTATTTTTTGTGTTCTATCATGGGGAAAAAATATTTTAAAGTAAAAAGAATATTCCTTTCATTCTTGGAATTTTTTACAAAACATATTGCTCTTTCTTAAAGCATTTTTAAATATATTATCTTAACGTAAAAATATGTCTGTAAAAATTAGCTTTTTACCAAATTATGTTAGACTGATACAATTGCACTAATATATAAAATTTAGAATGGGATGTCTTATTCATCCCAAAATATAATATTATTTCAGAAAGTATTTAAAATCAACATTGGAAAATTGTCCGGAAAATTTCAAATATTGATTTTAAACTAAAAAAATATAATATATAAAGTAAAATAGCCTTAAACAAAACCAGTCATAAGAATATAATTAAATAAAAACATATTTCAAAAATATTACGTTTGTTGTTGAAAAAGAATAAGAAAGCAGAAAAAAGTCTGATCTAGATTTGTTAAAATTTTTTATAGTTCTGTACAGCAATTTGATGAGGTTATTAAAAGATACAACTGCCTGTGTTTCACATTATTTAATTAATTTAAAAACTCGTGTTTGTGGCTTACTTTACCATGTTGAAAAGTTAGTTCTAATAAGATACTTTATGAACGTTGTTCATTTATAAAATATTAAGGAACTACTTCTTTGTTATTACAGGTATAATCGTAGATGTCTTTTAATTGGGAATACAAGTATCAAATGCCTTTTTATATCTTTATTACCTCACACTATGCATGAAGCCTCTGTGTTGTTACTTGGCGATTTTCTTGTTTTGTTTAAAAGTTTAGCATCGTTTAATCAATCTAAATTATGATGCCAGAGCCACAAGTTTATAAACCTTAAAATCTCTTCCTTGAATTTTTGATTTACACTCTTTAATTATTTTTTGTATCGTAGCATTTTTCCTCAAATGTAAAAATTATAGGGAATTTTGTGTTTTCGTACCATATTTCAATATTATTCATAAAATTTAATCAAATCACAAGAAATAACATCCAAAAAAAATCCCAATACAATTGATTTATAGGTTTTATTACTAGAGCTATTATTTATGTAACTTATCCAAATTTCTTTGTCTTTATTTTGGTAATATTTAACCAATTTCATGAGGTCATTACATTTACCAAAATAATTTCCTTATGTAAATATCTGCTATGCATTAAAAATAAAGATAAATTTTTAATATATATTTTGATTTTCATTGTTTTTGTTTCATTTGCATTTAAACTCATGATGGTTTAATTTTTTCATTAAGTTTTTACAGATTTTTATTTTTAGTTTATTACTTATGAGCAAATTTCTAATTTGATTCATTGAATTCAAAAAAGTATCCTGATTTTAATTTAATATTTAGAGACATAAACCAAATGTCTATTAAATTAATTTAAGTTTTAACATCTTTCTGTTCAAAGGGATCAAAAATAAATAAAAAGAGAATTTTCTAAAGATAAATATCAAAATTCTTGCATCTAAAATTAAATTCTTTAAAAGTATATTTTTTTGTTTGCTTTACTTCTATTTAACAAGAAATGCATTATAAATTATTTATAATTGTCATATCCATTCGGATATGCTTTAGTTAAGAGAAGCCTCACGTAAATGAAATATCATCTTTGGGGTGTAGAAGAAGAAGGTGAAGGAGAGAATTTATTCATATGGTTTTAGGAGTACTTCTTCTTCATGTTCATATGGGATGGGATTAATATTATTTTTAAGTAAATTATTTTTATTATGTATATAA